TGTAACACTAATTCAAGATGGCTAATATAACCAATAGGCCTAATGACTTTTTTTTTTGATTTTTCAATAATAGCAATTGATGTAACTACATCTTAAAAATGTGTCCTTGCTCTTCAGTCCTGCCATTGTGGCTCGATGCAGTTTGGAACCTACACCTGCTGTCTAGTTCATGCTAATGTCAGTCAGTCAACTTCACCATCCTCTGCAGTCCAGGACAGAATAAAGAGGTTTCCTGTGTGTGTGTGTGTGTGTGTGTGTGTGTGTGCTTGTGCATGAGGCAGCAGCTCCACCTCTTTTCCTCCCTGTGTCTTCCTCCTCTCATCCCACTCTCCTCTCCTCCCTAACCCTCCTTCTGATCCGGCAGGAAAGCTTTCATTATTTGCTGAGATTGGGCTGTCAATTCCCGCGCCCCTGACCCAAGTTTGTAGTTCTCCGCCGTCATAGCGGGGAAATGATTAGTGGGGTTATCTTTACCCCTCTTTCTCCTCCACTCCACTCTGCCTGGCTTTCATTCCTCCTCACAGCCCCCCTGTACCTCCAGGCAAGGAGGGGATCTCTTAACCAGCATCAGGCTGCTGCTGCTTTTCTCCTTTTTACTCCTCACACTGTCTCCCCCATTTTACACTCACTGATACTTCATCATGTAGCCTTGCTTCATCCCTCTAAATGTCTCTGCTCATTGCTGAGTCAGATTCATTTTAATGTTAGCCTCCTCTCTTCACCTCCTCTCTGTTGGAGCATAAGAATGTAGTTTTGTGAATAAAGTTAGGTGGCATTTTCATTTTAGATTTGAGAAATATATTTGGCGAAGTGCATGATGGCTTTGTTGGGGTCATTCCACTTGCGTCCTACTTAAAACTGAAAATCAAATTGCCTCTATATTTACATTTAGACTGAAGCATCATGGTGTAAAAGAGACATGGGCCTAGTTTTGTGTTTCTCTTTTTTTTTTTTTTTTTTAAAAAGCACTTTTATGCTTTCCTGTGTTTTATTTATCAAACTTGTATCTCCTCTTAAAGAGAGAACAAGTGTGTGTGTGTGTGTGTGTGTGTGTGTGTGTGTGTGTGTGTGTGTGTGTGTGTTACAGTAAAAGAAATCCTAACTTCTCCTTTTTAGAGAGCCACAGTCAAACACTTTGTTTGGAGTATTACACATGAGGGTCTGTGTGTAATAAAGTGCCTTTGCTCTGCTTTGTAACGCGTCTGTGCGCTATTATGGCTTCAAAAGGTTATTCCAAGATGCCCCACATACATGCGCTGTGTCGAGGCTACAGGCCTGTGGGAATAAATGGATGTAACGCCGGCTCTTGACTAACAGCAGATCATATTTGCCCCCGTATAAAGCTGCGTTTCGCTTTTGCGCACGAAACTGGAAAATTAGCTCCAGCTCGTTTATGACCATTGTTATTGGGGAAGAGGATGAAACTGCAAAATAGGCCACGCGCGTTTCTTGAACATTTTTAATTGATCTATTTTTTATTCTCCCCCGCGGATTTTTTTTAAACAAAACGCTGGCATGTGTGTTTGCAACCATCTTGATAGGAAGCTGCAGATTTGCCTCATTTGGTCCAAATGAAAGCGCAAATAAAAGCTCTCACACCAGCAGCACAATGCAAATGACGCTTTGATTCACTCTTAATTTCATCACAAGCTTGTTTATTTTGTTTATTTCTCCTTCTCTTTTTGAATTATTATGATTATTATTATTATTAGGAGTCCATGGGATTAAGCAGAGTCACTGATCCTCCTGAGTCTAAGCCTTTTTTTGTCTGTCGGGAGCTCAACGAGACTCCATCCGCACTTCATTAACCCTGAGCCCGGGACAATCCACGGTGAGAGCCGGGGGATTTACCACCAGCCTTTCACATGCAAAAAGAAAAGGAGAAAAAAAAAAAAACTCCGAGCCATCCAACAAGACACACGGGGGCTTTTCCTCATATAATCAGCTGCGCACTTTGCAAGAATAACCCCCTTTTCACGAGGAGGGTCGTCGTTATGTGAATCGGTCACGGATCCTCATGATGGGACTATAATGATCTTTTGACGAGTTGTTGAAGGTGTTCTGATTTTTTTCTTCATCTCCCCACTTTTCCCCTCTTTTCGCTTTCCCATTCAGAGCCCCACTGTATTTTTAATGCAATTTTACGCATCATAAATGCGGCAGTTACCAGGCCGTCAGTCTGATGTGTCACGGCGTGGTCAGCCACTAAGTGGAGGCCCCAGATAACAGGTGCCATGCGTGGGTGACAGCAGGGGGAGCTGGCTATCAAACCCATTATCGACTTTCAATTAAAACCTATTAAAGTCTTTTGTCTAATCGTTAACATCCTACACGCCAAGTCTTGTCCGTCAGCCTGAACTCCTGTAACCCCCAACGCGCCACGGCCGGATAACTTTGAGTCCACGCGGGCTCCTTGGGGGTGGAGGTGCAGGACGAGGTTAGTGGCTGGGTGAAATTTGTATGGAGTAGGGAGGGGGCTGGTGGTGGAGCCGCTGACCAGCTGTCCCCACGCTGATCCCCGGTCTGCAGTCAGCTCCAGCCCGGTCACCAGCTGTTGGAGCCGTTTGGCACCGGAGCGCACATCCAGCACCCTCAAGGAAAAGAAGGGTGGAAACAATCAATTTCCAAATGGGATCATTTAGGGCACTTAAACAATTGCGCACATAACATTAATATTTCATCCCCTGCATTGTTTATGGAAAACGAGTTGGAGTTGGTGCTGTTAATTTAGGAAAGTGGGAACGGTGAGGCCAGGACAGGAGGGGGGAGGAGGAGGGGAGTGGACAGAAGAGGAGAGGGGCTCCATTTTGGACTTCAGCTTTGTTGGCTCTTCTTTAAAGACATTAGCTGGAATTGATCTGTGATTGCACTTTTGAACGTGTGTCTATTTCTGTGTGGAAGACAGACAGAGGGGGGGGGGGGGGGGCAGTGGTACGCCTGCGTTTGTGCTCTTTGCAATCAATTTCAAGGCAAACTTGTACCTTTCAATCAAAGCTCTTCCCTTATTAATAAAACCTAATAAATGTCCTGTATTTTTAGCAATTAACACGGAGTGACATTAACGTTTTAAGACACTGGAGTTGGCTGTGGAGATCTTATTTTGAAAAGGTTAAGAAGACGGATGTTAAAGCACCTGATGACTTATTAACTCTCCTCGTCTCGACATGAGACAAATTCAATCAACGATTCTAAAGCAAACAGGTAAAGTCGTTTGACAGACTGATGTTCACATTTACTCAGGAGGGAAGATTCATTTTTTAAAATCCTGCCTCCAGAAAAGTGGAGTTAAATTAAAACTTCAGCTCCATCACTATCCTGTGACTTTACAACACACATGAATATAGTTTTAAATGTGTTTGCATTCGTGTATTTGATAGAAATGTCAATTTTTCTTTAGTATCTAAATGTGGTCAGACAAATCTAAAATAAAAAACATATTTTAAGTCTCGCCTTA